TATTCAAACAAATAGGTTAGATTTTTGATTTTAATGATAAAAGGAACCACCCCAGAATTCATTGTCATAAAAATGAGGGCATAACTATAAGGAACTACTTTGTAGAAGAGACTTTTAGTCGGAAGTTTCAATTTCAGGCTCAAAACATATCATTCCACCTAAATCTGCATTCTGGACCACTGTGCAGTGTATCGAAATTGATGAATTTTGGATTGCATTTTTAATGCAAATTACGAATATGCATTTACCTAAATACCCTTAAAGAACCCAATTGATCAAGTCAGTTGAATTCAACTGACTTGAACGCGAATTGAACGTGTAAACCATGCCATTCAACTGACTTGATCAACTCACTTGAATTGAAAAAGTTGAACCAGGCTCAACTTTTCAAGCCAATTGAACTCAACTGAGTTGATCATTTGACTTGCCTAGTCTAAACCCAGCTTAAGACAAATAAGTTAAGTTTAGACGGCGATTTATTCGATTTTTGTTCCAACGGCCCTAACAGTCCTATTTTCTTCCTACCAAACCACGCGACTCACGGTGTCAACTTGTGTGCGGTGTTATTGTCGGGCCCGTCGATGAAGCCGGTGGCTTTAGATTCGTTCTTTGGAGTTCAATTAGACCTTTGTCTCCTTACTTGCCGTTCGCACCGATCTCGCGGACCTGGTTTCTCCGTTTGCTGCCATCAGGGCACAAAATATTGATAGCTGGTGATTCTGCAGCACTCCTGCGGAGTCTCCATACACAACTATAGGAACCTAACGCTTCTAACGTACCGCAACTATAGGAGCGTTTACCCTAAATTTCGTATGGACAAAAAAATTCTCGGAGTCAATTATTCTCAGTCACTGAGTTGGTATGGTTGGCCGTGTACTTTGTCTGTCAAAGTGTAGTGGTCTGCACATCGTGTCGCATCATATTTTGTCAGTCATCATTCCAATAGGGTTTTCGTCAATGAGATTCGAGAAATGTTGCACGTGATATTGATGAAATAATGCAACACTGCGGGGGTCGATCCGTAGGCTTGCAGTGTCGCTTAGTCCACTTAAAGACGGTGTCAGCTTACCATTTTGTATGGTAGTGACTGTTTTCGTGGTTTGATAAAATCGTTTCCACCTCTTTACCGGAATTCCTACACAATTCTAACGAATCTAAATGTTCTTCGCGCGCCAAGATGTCGATAGTTTTCTAGTGCTGAACCAAGTGAACGATCCTCCCGACTTGCAATTCTCGGGAAACGTTGAATAGGCCTTTTCCGTTGGTGTTTTAGGTAGCATCCACCCATCAGACAGTATTGCTACCAACAATACCAGCGTTTAGGGGTGTTTTTTATATTGTTTTAATTCGTCAAGTAAAGTAGACTACATACAATGGTTACAATGTTTTGCTTACATACTATGCATTATTTCTAAAAATGTTTTAGTTTGGTGACATAGTGATGCTAATGACTTCACAGTGTAGTCGCATCATTCGATTGAAGGGGCAATTTTTTGTGTAATTTTTCTGAGAATAATTTTCGTTCTTAGATGCCGACAGGGTGTGCAGAAGTTTAATTGTGAAAGTATTTCTGATGATTCTATGCTATGTGAAATGATGTCATTGATGACGAAAAGCATTGCAAATTAGTGGCGTTCTTTGAGTGTTTGTAAGTTGATAAGCATGCAACGTGCTTCATATGATGGAAGAGGAAATGCGGTCTAATTCAATTTTCGAAGGACATACAAAAGGAATTGTTTTTGGACGGATTATATGCGTTCCTCGTGTACGGCAAGGTACGGATCCCAAACTAGGTTACAGTATTCCAGAATAGATCTTACGTATTAAATATATAATAATTTAATAGTGTATGGGTCTTGAAAATTATAGCTGAACCTCTTAATGAAGCCCAACATACAATCTGTGCCGCTAGAATTACTTATTTCCATGAAGAGCTTCATGTCGTCTGCATATATAAGAACTTTTATTGTTTTTAAGTCTGTAGGAAATGTCGTTTACGTACAAAATCAAAAGAATTGGGCCTAAATGAGAACCCTGGGGCACCCCAGAGGTGACCGAAATAGGTTCTGAAAGTTTATTCTGAAAACGAACTATTTGTTTGCGTTGCGTTAAGTATGATTGGAGCCAATTCAGAAGTCTAGATTCCATTTCCTTTTTTTTGCAATTTAAATAGTAGTGAATGAATGTTAAAAATGCAAGAAGATTAGAGGTAGCTGAACGACCTTTAAAAAAGCCGTGCTGTTTGTTTGTAATTTGATTTTTTACTTGCTGATATTTTTTGTCGTTTACGATCGATACAAAAAATTTTGGGAAGCAAGAGATAATGGCAATTCCACGATAATTAAGGATGTCAGATTTCTTGCCTGATTTGAATATAAGCATAACATTTCTAGTGCATTGAGGACTTCATGTTGACATATTTGATTGACAGATATGCTGTTAGAGATTTCAGAAATGAATGCAAAGAAGTCGCGGTCGCGGTTTTTTTTTTCAGAAAATGTGGTGCATACTTTCTGAAAGAAATTTGAAAAGAGATTGCCGATTTCAGAAGGATTTTCACCTACATTTCCATCAAAATGCATTTGTGAAGGAAATTTATTAATTTTCAATTTCGTTTTTACATAATTGAAAAAGTTTTTAGGACATGATTTGACTTCATTTTCGACTTTACGATTATATTCTTCATGTGCAGTGTTAATGGCTGTGTTGAGTTGGTTGCAAATATTATGATAGGTTGTAAATTTATGCTAGTGCTTTCCTTTTTGTATAATTTATGTGCTTTCTGCTTTTTGTTCTTCAAATGTTTTAGTTGTAGATTGAACCACACTGGCAATTTGTAGTTTTGTGTTCGCCTCCTTCTTTTTATTGGTACGGTTTCTGAAATTAGGTTACGAATAATTGAATGAAATCTACCAACTTCAGTGTCAACATTTCCTTCAATACTAATTATAGTTTGCGTATTTATTGTACATAGTCTACATTTGGCTTCTTCGTAATTTGCTTTGTGATATTGCGGCACTTCCTCGTACTCCCAGTGGCTGAGGGAAGAAATATTTTGTATGAAGATTGAATATTCAATTGCTGAGTGAAAATTTTCATTTTTCCATAAAGGTGATAATGATGCATAAACACAGAAGTCTTCATTACAGTTTGTAAATAATAAGTCTAAATATGCATTTTTCTAATTTTTTACGTGGTTAATTTGATGTAGACCTTAATATGAGGTTTTGTCAAAGAGAAATTGTAATGTTTCGTCTTCACCGAGTGTACCCCATTAGACATAAATACGTTAGGCATACGGACGTTGGGCATACAGACGTTAGGCATACGGACGTTAGGCATAATGAACGTAAGGCATAATATACGTTAGGCATAATGGACGTTAGGCATACAATACCATGCTGTTGTGCAACTCTAGAAACCGGTTTCGAGCATGGACAATGCTTAAATTAGGCTAGGCGTTGAGTAAATGATGATACAAGTTATATAAACATAGTTTATTCAATAAGCACACTTTGGAATCCATTATTTATCATATCATAAGTGACGTAGCTACATATTTACTTAGATCCCAGATTAGTAGCGATAGCGGTTATGTTTTCTGACAATAAAAACTCAGCATAGTTTGAACTATATCTTGACATCAATCGCTTTTAGTAAAAACTAAAAAAAAATCACACATTTGTTGTAACATATTCTTACACACATATTGCAATTGTACAAGAAGAAAAGGTTTTCCTCAAAGAACAGCTCATGAAATGAAAAATGGTGAATTCTGTTGTTTTTCATTCAATATAAAAAAAAACATACCTGCTGCTTCCAGGATTTACTCCCATACTTTTCGAAACAACGTTTCTGTTTTTGTTGTCATCAGAATGAAAACTAGCGGAACCGTCTGCTGATGTGAGGGAGCTATACTTCCATGAACAGTGGCGAGTTGCCGAAACAAACAAGGAACTGTGGCAAACGTACCATCTGCAACCCAATACTTTGCCTATCCAAGACGTCCTAAGTTTTCATTCCCAAAAATTAATGCTCTTTCATAATTGTCAGCAATCAATAGACGGTCCCCATTATCATCCTTATGGAATTCATCGGGTAGATTATGCCTAACGTCCGTATGCCTAACTTCCGTATGCCTAACGTCGTGTACCCGTCTTCACCTACGATTGGAAGTAAAAATGATTCGTTTTCAATGTCTGTGATAAAGTCTGCTGTTTTACTTCTGGTTCCACATTTGACATAACAGTTTTGACAATTTGGAATTCAAAAGAAAATTTGTTCGCATGTTCAGGTGGAAAATACACAGATGTAAAATTGTGTGTTTCACCAGCAATAAGCGCTTTGGTTCATACATGTTCAAATTTTGTGTTCTTATTAATTTGTATTTCTTCGGAAGTAAAGTCTGCATTGATGGCAATGAGAACATCACCTCCAGACTTTTTGTGGGTGTGTCATGTTGTTGAAGTGGCGTGGCACGCCTACACAGTGCGTGATATCTCGTTTAATTATTTATTTACTTGCACGAGCTTTATTATTCATAGAGCATTTAGGCTAACTTTTTTAATTTGAATTAGACTCCTATCTAGATATCTAAATGTTTTGGACTGTCCAATACATGTCTATCCAATCCATAGAAAGTTAATAATTTATACACATAAGATTATTGTCTAATTCCTCTATAATATCATTTAAAAATCTATGCTTATCAAAAGTACCGCTCTATTATCGTATATTATCAATCTTATCAGCAAGTCCATTTTAGAAAAATTTCAAACGTTTTTCCATTACTACCTTATCCCTATCAGAAGAGCATTGCTTGTGCTCGTAATACGGAGGGAGTCCAAAATGGTGATTTATGGCTTTTGTTTAACGAACTGCTGAAAAAAAAACTCTTTACAAAACCTAATACAGATAAGTAGTACAAATCGTGTTAGAACAAGCTGATTTCGCTTATCACTATCCGAAAGGTCTGGTATAAAAGGTGAAGCACTCAATCAAAGGTTCAGTTTACTCCAAACGCAAGACAAAATGAACAAGCTCGCTGCTGTACTCGCCATTACCTTGGCTTCGTTGGCCGCCGTTTCGGCTCAGTGCCCTCGTATCATCACCCGTGCCGGATGGGGTGCCCGTGCTGCAAACACGGCTGTTCTGCCAATCCGCCCAGCTCCATGGGTTGTGATGCATCATACCGCTGGAGCTCACTGCACCACCGATGCCGCTTGCGCCCAGCAGATGCGTAATATCCAGTCCTTCCACATGGATAGCAACGGATGGGCTGATATTGGATACAACTGGTGTATTGGAGAGAACGGTGCTGCCTACGAAGGACGTGGTTGGGGACGACAGGGTGCTCATGCTCCCGGATTCAACGATCGCTCGGTCGGTATGTGTGTCATGGGAACCTTCACCAACGCCATTCCCAACTTGGCCGCTCGTAACGCCGCTCAGCAGCTGATCTCTTGCGGTGTGTCGCTCGGACACATCAGTGGCTCGTACTGGCTGATTGGACATCGTCAGGCAACCGCTACTGCTTGCCCTGGAAATGCTTTCTTCGAGCACATCCGTACCTGGCCACGATTCAACCCAAATCCTTAAATGTGAGGTAATTCCGTTGATAATTGATTAAAAATAAAATATTGAAAAATCAAATTGTTCTTTCGAAACAGCTCTATTTGAGCACATATCCTAAATGCTTCGATCGTCGAGCTATAATCTGTTGAACCAAGGCTATGTCAATGCACACTGTTTTGCATAGACTGTTTTCTTTAGAAGTATTTGATTCCCAAGTAAACATACGTACCTTTCCATTTATGCCTGCTTGTCATTTGCTATGCAGAAGTTGTCTCCATTCGACTCGGTCCATGCCTCAGTCAGCACTAAGTAACAGCAACACTACTGCCTACCGAGGCTCCACAGATCGCTTTCCAGCTGGTCAATCCACGGTCGATCCGAGTTCCTGTCGAGTCGTTTTCGAGAATCTTTTTAACCAGGTTGTTGTCCGACATTCCTACGACGTGCCTACGTTACCGTAGGCTTCAGATTTGCACAGTGTGGACGAAGGGTGCTTCTTTCAGCAGCTGGTGCAATTCGCGGTTCATTCACCTCCTCTACATTCCATCTTCCACCTGCACTCCACCGTAGATGGTACGCATTACCTTCCATTCGAAAATAACAAAGGGCTTGTTGGTTATGACCGAGAATAGTCCATGTGGCCGATAAACTATCGGTCTAATCAGTCAGGAGTCTGAAGTAAGCACGAATCTCTGTCCCAAGGTGTCTTTGTATTTATTTGCTGTTGTCATTATCGGCAATCACAACCTTCAATTCATCGCCGTCATCGAACTTGTAGTTATATTCCCTTGAGCCTCTTCCCCTCGTTCATTTCGTCAATGTCACGTCCTAACCGCTTGTCTTCAGCCTGATGTACGTTACCACCATAGTTTTAAAATTACTTGTCATGATTACGGTGTCATCGGCAAGCTGAAGATTGTACGACTCGTGTTTATTCCCATGCTTCTGATCAGTTTTTGAGATTCTAAGGGACTCGAGAGTATCCTTGATACTCGTTCAACGTAAATCAATCGATCCGTTTCTGACGAATAGCATTAGTTTATTTGGAAATTCGTATTTGTGCATAATATGCCATAACTGAACCCGATCGATTGTGTCGCATGCTTATCTAAAATAAATGAACAAATGATGTGTAAGCTCATTGTAGAACAAAGTCCCTAAAGACGGACACATTTGGAAAAAGGGACATAATCAGCATAATCGATATGGAGATGGCATATTTCCTCTATGCTCATAATTGTATGCAATTTCGAAAAATTCGCGGATCAATAGGTCTACTTTCAGGAATTGACAATTTTTCCAGCGTATCTAAATTTCCGCAGAGTCAACTCTCACGGGTTTTCCCGTTCCGACTGGTCAATCTCAGGTCCAATTGATAGTCATAGTGACTCAATTGTAAAATTAGGGAACAAAATTGCCGGGAACCAGGCATGTCAAAATTTATTTTGTCTTTGCTCGGGACTCTTCCGGGGTTTTCCCTTATGGCTGCCCAACAAAAGTTCCAATCGCGTTTCCTGTTTCAAATGAACCTTTAGAATGATGGCTGCATCGATTGAGCCTTGGGGTTTTGTCGGTTGATGAATTCGTTAACGTTTCTCATTTTTAACGCAAACGTTAATTCGTCAGCATAAAATTAACGCCGTTGATTAACGGTTAACGATTTAACAAAAATGTGCAAACCACTGATTATGTCTGATTAAAACTGAGAACTTTCTAAGTTTAACCACGATCGAAGACTGAAGAGCTCTTCATCTAATTTATCTGAAGTCCATACATAGGACACGTAAACTTTGCCCTACTCGTGGCATTTCTCCAAAAAATGCAACTATTTCGTATTTTTGCATTATAATATCAACACATAGGGTAAACGCTCCTATAGTTGCGTTACGTTAGAAGCGTTAGGTTCCTTTAGTTGTGTATTGCGTCTTCATGAACAACTATAGTTACCTTGGTTGTATTGTTCGATTCTTGTTTATGAAAAAATTAAACAGGATCAAAACTCAGTGATGGACAACGAATCAAAAATATCTGCAAATGGCAAAATGACAAGCGATCAACGAACCGAATGATAACGCTATGTCAGAAGTGGAAAGCAATAATGATATAATCTTCTTCCTATTTTTCATAACAAGCAGCTCGTGCGACACAGCTCACTCGGGGCGGTAGAAGGAAACGACCCAAGTAACATTTTAAGTTTTATGAAATACAACAAAGCAATTTTAAAACAACATTCATAAAACCTTGGTCAAGGCTATTTTGTCATTAATGCATCCACCAAAATCTCATTAAGACTAGAATATGTCTAATTAGCCCACCCTGGAGAAGGTTCTGAAGGGTGTATTCTCGAAGCTCTTCAAGATTGATTTACTGCAAAAGGTTGTATGACGAACGCATTCAGAGCTATTTGAAAGCTGCAATAAAAGCTATTTAGCAACAATAAAAACCCTTTCCGAGCCATTTCCCCTAGCCGCTTGCTAAATCCACTAGGAAAGCATCAATCAAGATCGAAAAGGATTTATGAATCCGATCTTATCAAAATATTGATATAGAAACTGATGGTACAAAAATCTTGTGGAATATCCAAATTTATTACAATAGTGCACTTTAAGTGGTCTTGTTTTATGCGCCTTATTAAATGTTATGTGAAATGTACGTGAAAACATCGAAAAAATAAGTCCGCTCTCGTAAAACTTTGATTAGACTAATTATTTACATTGAAAAAAAAAAATGGTTTTCTTCAGATCGAGCTTGACCGAGATTTTTTTTATGATTTTCGCATTTAAATGTTTGCTCATTGCTAAATTTACCAAAATAAAGTTATATCCAAGGAAATGTGGATTGAAAATTGAAGATTGTAAAAAGCAAGCAAACTAATTGTAAAATGGCGGTGGCATAAAAGTTGATTTTCATGGGTCATTTGTGAAAAAGTTGTTTTCCTTTCAAGAAATCCTTAACGAATTTATAAGGTTTTAAAATGGCTTTTATGAAGAGGTTGAATAGTATTTATCTAAAGCCATTTTGCTTGATCCTAACCTGTTCAGATTTATGGCAGCATTTATGGAGGCAAAGTTGCCTGCAAAAAGTTAAACGTCAAAGTTTGTTTATCTTTCGATGTTTAGTTGCGCTGTGGGATCCAGGGTTCCTCCAGGCGGTTTTCTTCCGATGGATTGGGAGCTTGGGAGTTTGCGATACTGTTTTGCAACATTTCGTATTTCGAACAGCTGGAAGCGCAATCGTTCCCCAATAAGATCCCCTTCCGGATGGTTACAGGAGTGCACCATCCAACGATGCAGGGATGTACGCCTGAATGAAATTTTCGAAGAGTTTTGTTTCGCCGAATAAAATCGCTCCTATGGATCGGAAGCCAGCTAATCTCCGCTAACTAACAGTTTCAGTGGTTTGCTGTAGGTTGTTATTTCTATTGTCATCTATTCGAAAAATCTGGAGAAGGCTGGTTTTTTTTTTAACTTTCGACAATGTTTTATGAACTCGAGGGCCACGCTCACTTTACTTTTTTCCGCCAGGTCAGTCGTTGATGGTGTGCTGGTTCTTCTAAAGAAGTAAATTTTTCTGAACTCGACTTGAATGTTTCATCCTACTTCGTCTATCCTTCGTGATTTCCTTGTCACACATTTGGCTTTTATTAATTATGAGGAACCATCTTAAAGCTCAATTTGTAAACAGAGTAATTGGGGAGTTTATGATGGACTTTAAATGCCTTAAAAGCAACAATAAATGCTTTTTGCTCTAATGCAAAACCTAATGGTTTTTATGGTTGCTTTTATAATGATACAACACGTTTATAAAGCATTATATCAAGACATTAATAAGCAACTGCTAATGAAGTTTATGCTTGAATAACAGAACAGTTTTAATGAGAGATTGAGAACTGTTTTAAATTTATGTTTAAAACAAGACAGTTTCTGACTTTCTTGCCAGACTATAGAAGGTTTTTAAAACAGCAAAAAGCTGAATTACTAAGCAGCAATGTTTTTCACTTTGAAATGCTGTATTTAAGCTAGATGGATTGTTTTGCTGTTTGCCGTTATTTGCCGTTATAAACCCATCATAATTCAGAGTAGATGCCAAATGGTTACTGAATTGTTACTTGGGGAGCAAATTGTTGGCAAGCAGCTTCACAAAGTAAAGCCGAAGATGATACACGTGTGTTAATGGGATTTTTTTTGTTATGTCTTTCCTCGATTTAGATCATGCTATGTCCTCATCCATGAATATTGCAACAAAGCAAGTAATATATCATTATCCTTCTACAACTCCGATCGAGCTATGTTACAGAGCGAGTTTGTAATGGTAGTCGTAGCAACCGTTTTGTCTGTATCGTTGGTTGCTTTATGTGTTTGGATTCGCTAGTGATGGGTCATTAGGACGAATGTCACTAGGCCGAACGCCATAACGCAAGCAACCAAAAGTTCCGCATTCAACAATAAAACCCACTTTTAAGTTCCATAAAGTTCAAATAAAGTTCCTACAGAAGTTTTTAGTTCCAACAGAACTTTCTTCCCAAGCAACCAAAAGTTCCGCATTCAATGATAAACCCCATTTCAAGTTCCATGAAGTGCATGTAAACTTCAACGTTGAACGTGGAACTTCAGGCTCCAAAAAGTACCAATGCGTACTCTTAGCAACAAGTTCAAAAAATAGTTCCAAAAGCATCCCTAAGCACTTCTTAGGAATTTGAGGCAAGGCTGAAAACAAAGTTCCGAAAAAGTTCCCAGTGGAACTTCTTAGCAACTTGATAGTTTCTTAAAAGGTCCGTCAAAGCTTACATGAAACATACCGCACAAGTCTTTATTAGTAGCAAAATGTCATGTACCTAAATATAAAATGATGTGACGTGACTCAAATAAATCACAATTCTTATATATTTGCAGTACATTAATGTTCTATCTAAACATTTAAAAAATAAAATTAATGAGCAAGTTGCTCGATTCAAACCCGTGTATTCGGCATGGGATCTACAAACGCTTACCACTGCGTCACAAGTGTATTGGAATACCATGCTGGCTAATACCAATTTAAAA